CAAACAAACTATGAAAATGGTGACAGATGGTTTATTAATTTGAATGTTTGGCTTTAGTCAAGTGCAACGTTCAATAGTTATGGACCTACAGGGATGTTTACATATATTGCATCCAAATATTTGCATTAACCCCAGTTTTAACATTAGATCAAGTAGTATTAAATTCCAAGTGATGTAAGCCTTGACAGTGATGTTGGATGTAGAAGTTTTGCCCTTCAAAGGATTGTTGGTTTAAGCCTTGCATTGGCTGGCAAAGTTGCTATACTTAACCAATACTTTGGTTAAAGTAAGCTATTTTTATTGGTTTCCCCTTGGTTATAACCAAAGGATTGATTGGACACATAACTACCAACCAGATTTTTGGGTTGTATTGATCAATCTGTTGTTAGAGTGCAGAGCATACAACGCATTGTCATCCTGTGCTTAGTTTTCACAGTGGAGCTTCTTCATCATTTTTCATGTCTTTGAATAGAAGAAGCTGATGGCAACGACTTTTTCCTGCTAAGTTAATACAAAATAACTTCTTGATGTAATAAAATGTGTTTCATACCTGCTGTCTTTCTTCACCAGTTCTCCTTTCTAGATCTTTACAGGAACATCAGGGGAAAAAAATTAGCAGCAAATGTCTGCAATCAAACAAGGAACTAACTATGGTTCAATAAAAGACATGTCAGTATAGAAATGTAAAAAGCAAAATTTTTATTTTTCTTGTAGATATAAATTGTTTTGTTTTGTTGTTTTTTTTTTTTTTTGAAAGAGGAAGGTGTATTTGGACTTGTACAAAAATTCCCATCATAAACAGTTATTATATTGTGATGCTGTTACCATCTAACTTCCTGTCTGCTCTCAGTTAAGCGTTAAATGATAATGTTGAACTTATTTCCACATTGTTTCCCGGTCGTCTCTTAGAATTAAGCAGAACTAAGACCTGAAAGAGTCTCGGTAGATGTTTGTGTGGTTTAGAGGCAGCAGGGGGCGTCTTCAGTCCCACAGTTATAATCAAACTTACTGTATCTATCTGTCCATCATTGTATCCTTCACTTTATTACTGTAGAGGGCAGAAACATCACAAAGACCAAATGCAATTTGTAGCTGGTTTTGATTTAATATATTTTTATTTCATTTTTTTCCCTTTTGTGTTCTCTTTAAGAAGTGAAAGAACATTTTTGCTTTCTGATCACATAGGTTGACCAAATAAACTGTATACATAAATATAATCTGCACTCATAAGGAAGGATCTGAGATAGATCTAATTGGCCGAGAAGCAGACTAGTGACATGTGTGGAAATGATTTTCTTCCCATGTAGAGCATTTGGGCACCAGAGGGGAGGCAAAGAGTGAGAGAAAGAGAGAGGGGAGAGTTGTCATCTGGACATGAATGAGCCCTAAAGAGCAGTAGGTGAGGATTATTAACCTGACTCCGCCAGATGGATTTGCTCCG